GGGGCTGGATGCCTTCAGGGCTTGGAGCCACCTGGGGTGCCTGGAAACGAAGCCCTGAGCTCTGACCCTAGCACGTCTTCTTGTCAAGTGAGAGCAGCCCGTGGCTTTGGAGCAGGAGGTTATCAGGACGAGCCTGTTTCTCATCACGCAGGCAGGCGGTGCCTGGGTGAATGCACAGCCACAAATCATTGCAAAGAGCCAAACGCTCACGGGCAGAGAAGCGAGGAGAGGGTTTTGTTACCGTTGGCCAAATGTAAGCCAGGAAACACACTGGTGACAGACCTCATGCTTGAAGGATTTGGACCAGGTGGCGGGCTGGATGAAACTCCCATTTCTTAGCAGATGTCGTGTTCTCAGTTGCAAGCAGAAGTGCTGTAACATCCAGACCTAATCACTCTGAAAGCACACAAGCAATCTTTTGAGCAGTGCATGAATAAAAGCTGCGTATTCAAACGCCAGGCTAAGAGCCCGCTGTAGCTGGCAGACTAACGTGGTGATTTTTTGGTCACTTTTGCAGCAGCTTTGTACGGAAGGATCCTGGTCCCCAAGTGAACCGCTTACCGGTAACATCACGCTATCAACCCTGCTCCCTGACAACCCTAACCCTGCTCTGTCCTGTCTGGGCTGCACGCTGCCGCAGGAGCTACAGGCTGAGAGCTGTGTGCTGAAAAACCTCGGGATGTTGATGTACAGAGGGGTGGGTGGTGTGATTTAGATGTCTTTGTCAACAAGCAAACATGGCTGATTAAAGCTGGATGACCACAGAGGTTTCTTGCTCCCTCTGCGCACCCCACTCTTCTCTTGGCAGTTACGGGGATTTCGGGTTACTCCGAAGGTCACGCTGGAAACGTGTGCCTCGGGAGCTGCTTCACGTGTGCTTTAGCTCCTGCTGACGGAGACACAGTAAGGCTGCATCACTGTAGCGTGATATTCTCATCATTTGGTGGGACGTTTCAGGCTGGCCGGCAGCAAACGCCACTCTCAGCACCCTCCAGCTCCAACTGCCGGCTCAGAGAACTCGACTGCTCACCCACACAGAGGGGCTGGCACCCAAACACGCTCCTGCTTCACCGAGAACCTCATCTTACCTTCTATATTTCAGGCCCGCAAGCTACGTGATTCAACTCGCAGGCAGCAGCGGTCTCCTGGAGGCTGTGCAGCCATCTAGCGTTACTGTCTGCGCAGCATGCCGGTCACCGCCTGCGACCCACTGCGCTTCCATGCTTTCTTCCTACGCATCTCCAGGCTGGATGTTCAACTCCCGAGTTACAGGAGATTCAGTTCACCTTGCCAACCCGCGGATCTTGGGGACCCGTGAGATCTCTGGCTCCCCGAAGGCTGTGCTTGTGAACGGGGGAGAGGATCCTGCTGCTGCGTTGCTTTTAGCCACAGCTCGTACACGTTGTGACCATCAGGAAGAGCAGCCAGGGCGTCTCCGCAGGCTGCTGCGTTTTAGCAGTCATTGATGCCTAACCAAAAAATAAATGGAAAAAACTAAATTTAAACATGAAGATCAGTGAGCAAACTTCAGGGATGCCACTGCTGTCTGCCGCAGCGCTTCGGAGACTTTCTCATTTCCGTAAGGATGGGAAAGCCTCGTACATATATTGTGAACGAGTAAGGCAAGGGCAAGATAGCCTGAATCTGTACGTCTCACTTTTCTCTCCTAGAGAAAACCATCTTATTCCAGCGTCCTGGCCTCCTCTTTGGTCACTTGGCAGACAGGGCAATTAGCACAAGGAATTGCTTTTGCAGTTTGCAGGAGATCAGTGAGGCAAGCCGTGCAGGCGAGGAGCGTGGTGAGACGACACGCATTCTTGTACTGCATATCAGAGTGACAAGCAAATCGCGAAGGTGACAGCCCGGGGTTACCGCGGCTCAGCAGCAGCCGCTTGGCCAACCTGAGAACAGAACCGTCTTTGTTTACAAGCTGCATTTTTCTAACTCTTATCTGCTTTCTTGCACTGTAATTTCCCCCAGCTCCCTCTGCGCCCCTGGGTTCATCTTTCTCCGCACCTCGCATTGTGCTGCCCAAGTGCCCAGGTGTGTTATGAGGGACTTTCATCTTCTCCCACAAAAGGTGACAGACCGGTGACTTTCTGCACTGCAGTAACAAGTCGCGGACTACTGAGGTAAAAGAAATTGCTTCTGGATAGAAGCTACACATGACAAGCCCTTTGCTTGGGCGAAACAGTGAGTGGAGATTCATGCTGTGGAGACACATCATTCCCTGGATCCTGGACAAGCTGGAGAGTTGGGCAGAGAGGAACCTGATGAGGTTCAACAAGGGCAAGTGCAGGGTCCTGCACCTGGGGAGGAACAACCCCATGCACCAGTACAGGCTTGGGGAGGACCTGCTGGAGAGCAGCTCTGTGGAGAGGAACTGGGAGTGCTGGGGGACGACAGGTTAACCATGAGCCAGCAATGTGCCCTGGCTGCCAAGAAAGCTAATGGGATCCTGGGGTGCATTGAGAGGAGCGTGGCCAGCAGGTCGAGGGAGGTTCTCCTCCCCCTCTACACTGCTCTAGTGAGGCCTCATCTGGAGTACTCTGTCCAGTTCTGGGCTCCCCAGTTCAAGAAAGATGAAGAGCTACTGGAGAGAGTCCAGCAGAGGGCTACGAGGATGGGTAGGGGACTGGAGCATCTCTCCCACGAGGAGAGGCTGAGGGAGCTGGGCTTGTTCAGCCTGGAGAAGAGAAGGCTGAGAGGGGACCCTAATATATGCCTACAAATATCTGCAGGGTGGGTGTCAGGAGGATGGGGCCAGACTCTTTTCAGTGATGCCCAGCGACAGGACAAGGGGCAACGGGCACAAACGGAAGCAGAGGAAGTTCCATCTGAACACAAGGAAGAACTTCTTCCCTCTGAGGGTGACGGAGCCCTGGCCCAGGCTGCCCAGGGAGGTTGTGGAGTCTCCTTCTCTGGAGATATTCAAGCCCCGCCTGGACGTGGTCCTGTGCAGCCTGGTCTGGGTGACCCTGCTTCGGCAGGAGGGTTGGACTAGATAACCCACAGCGGTCCCTTCCAACCCCGACCATTCTGTGATTCTGTGTGATTCTGTGTTACCAGCTCTGCCCGTTTCACGTCCTTTGCTGGTGGAAATAGCCCTGTTCCCAAGCCCAAGCAGCTACCCCGTGAACAATTTACACAAACTCTGCCTTCTCCCCCTCGTTAGATCAGAGCACTGGTATCAAATACTGAAGTCTCAGTCTCAAGAGCGGCTGCAGAGGAGCAGTGACAAGCAGCACGGACTCCTTCCATGGTAATAGCTGGATCTGGAGGAGGATGGTGGTCAGCATCGCCTTCCTCACGTGTGCTAAGCTGGGGTAAGCGCCCTTGTCTGCAAGACTGGACGTGAATCTCTTGCACGCTCCCCTTCTAAGTGTCTGTCTGTCTGTGGGATGTTCAAACCAGACCACGGCATGTGTCCAGCAGGCTCTGGCCATAGCTCGCTGATCTGGTACCATTTACCTGGAACAGTTTTTTAAAAGACATGTTTTACAAAGTCTTTCACTGCATCCAGTTTTGTGAGTATTGGATATCTGAATGTCACCAAAGAGATGGCTGACTGATTACCTTTTTGTCATTTATTTCCATTCATTTACCAATGAACAGGAAAAATTTTTTTCCATCCCTAAATTTTAACTAGTTGAGCACAGAAACACCCTGCACACAGATGCAAATACTCGCCCAGAAGCTAACAGAGCTGCTCTCCTGCCACAGGGCACAGCGAGGAGCCATGGGCTGGGGTGCAGCAGCCGTGGTGGTGGTGGGAGGGAAGGCGAGGATTGCTACCCAACAGCACAGCCTCTCCCTGCAAAAACGAGCGGCAGTCGTGACGCTGAGCGGTCCGCAACCCTGCCACCCACCAGCAAACCCCTTCCCACCCCAAACTGCTTGCAGACGAGGTGCTGGGCAGAGCAGGGAACGGCTGGAACAAAACTGTCTGATTTAAGTGATAAGCTGAGGTAAGGTGGTGTATGTCTCACTGTCTCACAGTTCTAAAAATGATTTTAATGATATTACAAACCAACGTGTACGGATGCAGGAGCGAGATGGAACATTTGTATTCTATTATGTATTTTAGCGAGAGGCTTATTTTCTTGGGATAAGAGAAATAAAGTGTGCTCCTTGCAATTTCTGGGTAGGACAGATCTTAGGGTCTTTTTTAAAAGCAGCAGAGGTGTTAACATTTATATCCCAGCCAAAATCTTTGCAGTTTCATTCTCCTGAGTGCTCCTGAAGTTCTTGACCCCCGCTTCCTGCCTGCAACTGGTGCTGGGAGCCGCTTACGCCACCATCATATTCCAGCTTGAACACATTTCAGTTAGAATCATAGAATCACAGAATGGTTTGGGCTGGAAGGGACCTCGAAGATCATCTGGTTCCAGCCCCCGTGCCATGAACAGGGACATCTTCCACCAGCCCAGGGTGCTCAGAGCTCCATCCAACCTGGCCTTGAACACTGTCAGGGAGGGGACAGCCACAGCTACTCTGGGCAGCCTGTGCCAGTGTTTCACCACCCTCATGGGGAAGAATTTCTTCCTAATATCTAGTCTAAATCTGCCCTCTAGTTGCCATCTAGGTGGTTATCCTACTCTAAGGATACTGTTTGGAAAGCACTTTAGGTCCCGGGGAATGAAAGGTGCCTTAGAAAAGAAAGGTTTTCTTTGTTTATTCACCGTGATGTCTTGAAAATCAAGTGAAACACAAGCTTGAAAAAGGCGACATCCAATGGCCACAGCGCCAATAAAGTAACTTTACTAGGGGGCCAAGAGCATTCCTCCCTGCTAACGTTCCCTCACATTGATGCCGAACCACCTCAAGTTCGCCTCCAAACTATGCCTCGCAAAACAGAATCACTTTTCCATAAACCACATCACAGCATCCAGCATCAGCCTCTGCGGCTCTGGGGACGAGCAGAATGCCATCCACCTCCGTCATGACCAGGCTGGTGCGTTCTGCTGCCGCCTCTCCCCTTCCCCTCCGCCCGTTTCCAGGTCCCTTCTCAGAACCAGGGCTCAGGTCGCTGCGCGTGCGGAGCCAGCGTCAAACGGCGATGCGTCTGAGAGCCAGCTCCAAGAAGTCGCTAGCGCGGCGGGTGTTCTGCATGTCTGAGGAGGTGAGGCAAGCCCCAAGCTGGGCAGCTCGCATCACGCAGGCGAAGCCAGAGTGTTTCGTGCTCTGAACATGGGCAGTATTTCCTTCACCGCAGACCACGTCTGGGGCAGAGGGTTACCCTGGGCGGGGAAGCTCAGCTCCCACTCGGGCGTTCGGCCTTCCTCCGGTCTCTGTCCCCATTCGGGCCTCGCAGTGATGGAGGTAACAGCCCCCCCAGGTCCCGCTCGGGCATTCGGCCTTCCTCCGGCCTCTGTCCCCGTTTGGGCCTCGCAGCAATGGAGCTAACGGCCCCCCAGGCCGCAGCCCCACCTCCCCCAGCACAGGGACCCGGGACGATCGGGCCCCGGCAGTTTCACGGCGGCCAGGGGTCACCCGAAACGCCACGGGTTACCCCGGAGCCCCCACGCCTCACGGCGAGGCCTGAGAGAC